TCAAATGCCACTGGGTCTAGGCAGACATTTACTAGCTACAGGGGTAGCAATCAGTTTCTTCAAAATTTACTGTTCTAAGCCCATTAGAGTTCCAGCGCAGCAAGGCTTTTCAATGAAAATCTAAAATGCCTGTATTTTCGTTTGGAGAGTATATGCAAATGCTAGGACCTGAACTCCTACCCTTTAGTGTTAGGATGCTTTATCAACTGATTAATGTAAATTTGCTCATAAAAATACAGTTTATTTTTAATTGGTGAATAAGAATTAGAAAATTAAGATTCTAGTTTGCATTCATCATACATCCAAACATCCTCAGTCACAGGAAGACATTTATTTACAGCCCAGATCATACAGGTAAAAACAAGGTACTGTAAACAGATCATTCAATATACAGCATATCCAAATATAAGCATTCATTTCCTTAAACAGATTTGTGTGCCTTATTCAGGCATCAGCTGCTTAAAACATCCCCTTCTTAGGCCTAACATGAGCATGTTAGTGAAATATACTAATTTTAGCTAAATTTTGTGGTGTATGTGTGTTTTCTGTATAGAATATTGGCAATAGTGTCATGCTCCTATTCCAACACACTGTACTAGCTTGCAACTATTGCCCCATACAGTAATACTTAACTAATGTTGTCTACATTGATGATTTACATGTGTTTCTAATTTTTAAAAAATAGAAAATGAAGATTTTGAAGCGAGAAGAAGGATTTTGTATTCTCCCCTTCCCTTTCACCTAACAAAAAAACCTTTCAGCCTAATCATAAAAAATATGCATGTGAAATCATGCTGTTGTTGTGGCAAAACTCTGAAAATGAAGTGATGCTGACCTTATTGTGTTAGTTCCACACTGGGATCATGAATGGCTTAAAATATGGTGTTACCCTCTAACACATCTCACACTAAGTCAACCAAATGTAGGCTCTACTTGTTTGGAAATGTATCAAAATCAAAAATGACATTTTCCAGGGAATACATTCTAGCTTTAAATCTGTGTTAAAATGTCTTTGCATGAGAACAGGCCCTTAAATGCAATCCCTGCCCCTTCTCTTCATTCTTCCTGAATCTGAGCCTGTCAAGGATTATAGTGTGCAACCTCTGTTGACAGTAGATAAATAACTGACAATATTTTAGCAGAGTTGCTTGGTTCTCTGCAGAGTAATTTGTTTCCTCCTTTCCACCAACTCTTTAATGTTTTGTTATAAACATCTATAGTAAGGCACTGTTAACAGAAATGACTTCAAGCCAAAGACCTGTATAGAAATACTGCAATGGTTACCTAAACTTCTCTGCCTAAATATTATACTGTAGAACTAGTTTTTCCCTTTATGTAAATATTCTCTACTTAAAATTGGCAGCAGAAATACAATGCTCAAGGGACAGAGAAGCCAAACCTAAGGAGGAGAACTTTCTATGGTATCACAAATTCTCATACAGAGATAATAAAATACACATTAAGTAAAGAGAGTAAGCCCTGATTTAAGCAGTGATTGGTGTGACAAACCCCTCCTCCCATCCATGCATTCTCCAGGAGGTCACAGAGCCCTGTTAATGCTGCTTCAGGAATCTCCAGGCTACAACAGTAATGGGGATCACCCCTCTCCCCTCCACAAGGGGGTTTGACAAATGGCTCCATGAAATTGCAGATCCAGTAGATCCCAAACTATCTCTATGCTGAGGTTTAAAGCACAACTCTCTGGCACAAAGAGGCTGTAGACCCCTTCAAAGTGTCCCTGCATCTTTTCTTCCCCATGTAGCAAATCTGCAATGGTTCTGCTGTATTCAGGGCTTTTTGTGGCTCTTACTTGGGCCATAGGTTTTTGCCCTGTGTGTGCAAAATCATACCAGCAGCCATAAGAGTTGGGTAATGGAGAGTTGTCAGAAACCAATTCTTCTTACCACAAGTGTCTGGGTATGATGCAAAATCACACGCCAACGGTAGAAGCATTTACACTCTCTCACGCGCGCACACAGACACACACACAGTTATTATCAAATCATCTGAGAGATCACACAAGCACAATTACATTATGTGATATTGTATATAAAATGTGAGTGTGAAAAAGCCATAGAAATCTCAACAAGGAAAAAAGGGGAAACTACAGTAAGAGCCACTATGAAAAGGGGGAGGGGGGAAAGGCTGAATAATAAGTGTCCTGAGAGTCTCTTCTCTTAGGGAAAACAGCACATACCCAGATACAGCTGTACCTGTCTCAGTCATCAATCTGTTCAATTTTAAAAGTGAGTTAGCCACTTGCGTCCACTAACGAATTTAAGAAATGATCCCATATAGAAAAGCCTGTTGTGTCAGTGTTCGACCCTCCTTCATGTACTACACATTGCTGAGCCCCCTGCACACGGTGGTGATCCAGTCCCACCTCTCAGCAATGAACTCTTCAATGGGTGACTTATCTGTGACATTGCAATCTGTCCCCTGCCTGCAGTGATGTCACAATCACACCACTCATCACTGAGCTGCTCACAGAACTGGAGGA